AGAAGGAGCCCAATTTAAACAATATATCCGCGGACAGTTTAAAACTATGGAGTGTGGATATTCCTGCCGAAGATGAAGATCTGGAAACCAAAATATCTGCCGAAAATATTAAAGAGGGTGTGATGTTATCTCCATTCAAAACTGTTTGAAAATATTTTCATGAATCCACTAGTAACATCCGAATTATTGTGCAACTGCCCGCCACCACTGGTAAGTGTCTCCCAATGTTTTACCTCGAACAAGAAAATTTGTAGTTATCTCATTCTTTTATTTGATCAGGAAAAAGAAAAACGGAAGGCTCAGATGAAGAAAAAGAAAATCGAAACAAAAAAAAAGGAAAGATTGAGTATCCTCCAGAATCAAAAGATGGTCGTGATAGTCTTGTTGTTATTTCAGGTGAAAGACTGAATATGATCACTGAATTTATGGAAAAGAACCGTGTTGGTCTTTTGCGCAGTCCTCCGTCATCAGGAAAGACTACTCTCGGTCAGACGCTCCGAGACTACTTCATTGAACGCAACCATATTGGTATATACATTAGTCTTGCTGGTATGGGCGGTAAAGGACAAGTAGATGAGAAATTCTTTGAAGAGTTCTGGAGGAAAGAAATTGGTTATACCTGGACAAAAATCAGCGACATCTCAGAGACCATTTATGTTTTAATCGATTCGATACAGACCATCTATGGTAACAATGCTCTATACTTTTGGAGTAAATTGAAGGCACTTATGTCAAGCGAGTGCTATAAAGATATTCATATACTTCTTCTCGGCACATACGATCCAACACTTGCATATGAAGCGACACCGCTGAAATTTAGTGATAATGATACTCTTAGCTTGAAAATCCTACTTCTCACAAGGAGAGAATTCAAGTCTCTTGTAGATAAGTATGTTCAGATACGTGTTTTGAGGGGTAGCTCAATGTTCAATATTCCTGAGGCTATTGAGGATGCGATCTTTCGTCTTACTAATGGGCATCCTGGTTTGTGTCGATTCATTTTGGATTCGCTACACACTCGTTTTAAAGATGGAGCTTCAACAGTGGAAATGATGCGATACATTGCATCACCAAGTCTAGGAAATAATATAACATCAGGTTCGCGTGCTTTTTATTGGATCGACAAATGGAATCCAACCCCAGAAGAAGCCGAATTTATTCGCAATAAGCTACTTATCAATCGAGTTGGAAGTTCCTTTCCTGTTAATTATGAATCAGATGCTATTGCCAAGAGTTTTGTTAGGATAGGTCTCTTCGCGATGGATTCCGGAAAAATACAATTTACTGCCCCTATAATGCGAATTGTTCTAAGCTATCACCTGTTCACCTCTTCTGGTTTAAAATCATATACGACAAACTTTGATGAGTTTTTACTTCGGGCCATTGAGCGCATGAGACCATCTAGGTTATATAGATCGCTTGGAAGAGGTCGGTCTGAATCTGATTCACGTTTATTTGAGAGAAGTTGGCAAATGGAATGGTATCATTCTGCTACAAGTGTGGTCCCAGCGGATACTTTAATAAGTGCTGATGTTGGTCCTGTGTTTGGCTCGGCTGGTTTTCTGGATTTTTATATTAATGGAGAGGTTTGCTGGGGAATTGAACTGACCCGTGAGGGTGAACGTTTGAAGGAACACGCAGAACGATTTGAAGAAGATGGCGAGTATGCCGAAATTCCATTAAAAAAATGGGCTATTATTGACTTCCGACACCACACAAAACAAGTAAGGGAATTAAGACCAAACTTCTGGTATGTGCTCTACGCGGATAACTACGAACAAGTTATTATAAAACGTCAAGGGCATGAAGATAAATTACTTACCTTGCAGGGCGATAATATAACTTTTGGGTAGACACATGAGAAATTTTCAAAGTCATATTACACAGAAATTGTGTTTATTATAAAACAAAAAAAAAAAATTATTGAGTTGACGTTAAATAAAGTGAATGGAGTAGCGAGTTTAAAGGGAGGAAGAAGTACTCGAGCCCTAACCCATAGAATGAGAGTTCCTTCCCGCTACTCATTACTATTTTGTTTGCTATCGATCCAAGCACCTATTTTATCTAAGTTATTATTAATTCTACGATAATAATTTTTGATTATATCTCTACTAAGTTTTCCCACCCCAAGATTAAGAACATCAACGGCTACAATACCACACATATCATCTAAAGAACACGCTCTCTCTATCATAATCCTGTCAAAATAATCTTAAATTGGTTCCAGATTTCTGAAGTTATATCTGAAAATGATCGTTGGCTCGAACCAGAAGAAACTTCGGATTGATTTTCATCACTTTGTTGGTCGGATGTGTCTTCGATAGGTTCGATTCTTATTTCGGGAGAAATGGCACTTTGTGCCTGAACAACGGAATAATGTCAATTGATTTCGTTTTGGATCGTTAAGATTGATCCATTAATTGATTCAACTCTATTATGATAGGTTTGAAGGATACGTTCAATTTCATCAAGTCTGGCATCACGATTGGCAAGCTCGGTGGTGAGTCGGGCATCACGGTTTGCAAGAATTTCATTAATGGTATCACATGCAGAAGGATCGGAATTGCCGGAGGCAGTCACACAGTGGCTATGCTTGACGTCGATGTCTTGCTTAGTGATACGTGAAAAATAAAACGTGGCACCGACAAGTACATAGAGATTTTCTCTACGAACATCAATAGGCCGGCGAAATCCAAAAATGGAGTGATTCACGAAACAACAAGTGATGACATCTATAAGGGGAAATTGGTCTGTTAGCATATACATGAATGTGGGGGAGATGACATAGCATATAAACAAATAAACAAACCTTAATCGTTAGAAATTAGATATTATTTTGAGTGTATGAATCTTTTTATTTATCGTGGGTAAAATTTATTAGCGGAGCCTTTAGTGAAACTAAAGAGATTTGTTAAATGTTTATTCCCCCAAATCGTTAATTATAACGAAGGAGTAAAGGGTCACAGATATTTTTTCTCCACCTTTTATATAAAAAAATCAAAGATCAGGATTTATTTATAGACTTGGATGGTAAAGGACCAGAAATTGCCAGAAATTTTTACACCTTACGTGTTAATTAGAACGATAATTGTTTTCTCGTCATATTCTCGTCATCAATCGGACATACCCAGATGTATGGCGAATTCAAACAACAAACTGATCTTCTAACTAACCTAATTAATTTTTTTTATGTGTCAGAGATGCTAGTCCGCTATAAGAACCTTATTTCCGATTTTCCTTTTTAGATTAATGGATTAACCACTTTGTGACTGTGAATGAAAGAAATACAACACCAAAACTACGTAACTGTTCATTTGATAGTATAGACCTAGGAAAAGTATATTTACTTGGCAAAAAAAGCTCTGCTCCGATACAAATCCCAAAATAGAAAATTTATATAGACAATGAATAATCTTTACCGTTGATCTATACTCGTGTTGTTAACCCCAAATTGTTCGATACCCATATCGGATTTGACAATGCACCCATGTAATAGTAGTTAAATCAACAAATCATGTTGATGTTGGCAAAAGTCTTTATTAGTACAAATAAAAATAGCACGGCTATTACTATATACATGTGGAGGAAAATCTACCAATTACTTTGTAAATTTTTTGATTCTCGACCTTTTACTGGCTGGGGAATTATCTACATCGACCCGATCCTTTAACAACACAACGATGATCCCGATTACCCTTTTTACATTACTTCGAAGTGCGTCGAGATTCTCTTTGATCACCGTCTTAGAGAGATTTATTTGGCATTCACTACTACTTGTGCAGTATATCCCATCAGGAGTATATATAATAAAATGCCACTCTATGGCTAATATGCAAAACAAATAATTAGGGAAAAAATCATATGACTGAAGTTTTTGATGATGGGGTGTCGCTAAAAAATATAATGAAAAAATCTTCACACACCTGTTGATACGATACCATAAAGGTAGTCGAAATAGTCGTTACCAAATGCCTGGTCAGCCGTCCGTTTCTTTTTGTTTGTTTGATATGCACTTTCGAGTTGTGCCAGATTTTGAGCGTATCTGATCTTGATATTCCGAGGTCCTCCAAACCCTTGATTGCGTAGTCGACACGTCCCGTCAATTCTTCACCAGAAATATCCTTTGCAATACTATAAAGATATATTGAGTAATAAGTTTTTTAGCAATGTCGATTGACGCATGTAGGATGGCCGAAATAAATTTACAGTGCGTTGCTTCATTGGCGTCCGTCATAGTTTCTACGTTTGATAATTTTAGAATTATATAGTCCATACAGTGATTGAATGCTTTGTCATTATTATCTATTTCTTCGAACACTACAGATTAAAATAAGTTATTGCTGTGCAGTCACAAGGTGGCTATATAATGAGACAGCTCATCCCAAGAAAATAATGTATCACTTACCGGGTATGAACTGCTTGATATTCGTTATATTTGTCAAAGACACTAGGCTCTGCCTATCTTCCCCATTAACTTTGTTCTTACGTAGCATTTCTTTCAAGTCATCCAGAGTTTTATATGACGAATAAGTTCTTAGCTTTTCCTCGAGACCTTTAATAAATTTTGCAAGTCTTGTCGCGGGGCCACCTTTCAGCATAACTGCGAAAATCCTCCTTCGAGCCTGAATGGCACTATTAAAACGCCCAAGAACTTTTTCCAAATCTGATGTTGCAAAATGGACCAAGACTTTGTCACCAATAAAATCAGTGATAATATTTTTCCCACACTGCTGTAATGTTGATTTAGTACTAAGATCGTTCGAGGCTTTTTTTCTGGTTTCTGCACTAAATAAGCCCACCAGTTCCAGATATACTCATTAAGCTCTTCGTTCCCATTACAAATTATATTTAATACATGCCAGAGAATTGGATCTGTGATTTTTCTGTTAATTTCCATTACCGGTTTAGCCAAAAACCCTAGAAAAAGATTAAAGAAATCCGAAACTGGTTGAGGGGTATTTATGTGATATGGAAGGAAATTATAATCTTCGTAAACTATTAGACCTTTAATAACTGCTCAATCTATTAATGTTTTTAACTTCGCCGCTTCACCTCCATATTCTATCATTTTAATCTCAAACTTGGCAAGCTTTAATTCGGACCCAATATCAAAATAAAGCCCATTTCTGAATCTTTATGTTTTAGTAACCATATTGGCATTTTCTTTTGGATATAAGCAACTGTTGATTGGATCGCTTAATAAACTTCGGACCGACAAAATATCTTACCTGAAGTACACATACGTATTAAGTCACCCCATACAAAATTATCATTTGGGTCCGAAATTCCGGGACATTCTATTTTTTTGGGAGGTGGTAAAGTTTTTTCCTGATTTTCAATGGACTCATTAATGACAAGTTTTAATGAAGGTTTCTTTGTACCTTTAGGCACGTCTTGATCTGCGCGATGGCAATAGTAACGGTAGGTTTTTCTGTTTCGGATTACATATGCATTATCATTGCTATGTTCTCGATCACATATAGGACAATACGATTCTGTCATACGTCTTAAAGTGAATATATCTGGAGAAACCGGTGTTGGGTATAAAACGTCGAAACCTTCGATATTAATTACCTTAAGCAGTTTCTACTGTATATGTAATCGATTTCAGCTCTGATAGTCCCATTATCAGATTTGCTATTTTTTACTATTTCTTTTGGGATTTCTAAGATTGGACTATCTCTTACTTCTGCCTCGTCATGGGGAGGACGGAGCATGAAATCGAAAACATTCCTATTTTTAGAACCTAATGGTTTCTTTATACGTACATGTTCTCCTGTTTTTTCTATAAATTTTGGTGTTCCTAGAATTCGTAAAGAGAATGCACTTTAATTAGCGATATTATCAACGATTTTTTCATCCTGCAGAGCTGTTGGAAGTTTTTTGCGAACAAGTTCAATAAATGATGCAACCTTAGCTATATTCTTAAGACGCATTCCAAACGTTGAAATATGATAAGACAATTTTTTTGAATCACTACTACTAGCGATAGTGATGGTAGTTTTATCCCATTCTGGATATATTTCCAGACAGGTTTTTGTAAAAGCATTATAAAGTGAATTTCGTATCCCTTCACTTGTAAGTTTAGGTTCGATTTTATTAAATGTTTCTCGAGGCAAATCAAAATCAATAATAGGACGGAGAAGTTCATCTCCATCGATAAATTCATGTAACGAGTGTCCTTGTCGGTCACTAAGTATATCTTCTATCTCATCTTCGGAATCTGTGCCGAGGAATTGCCTTGGTTTTACGCCATCATCTCGAATTTTATACATACAGTATATTCAGTTACACTGTTTGCGTTCGCGCCCCGGTGGTAGGAGGCCCCGTTGCTTTCTTCTGGCTCTGAATCATATCCCGGCTCGAATTCTTCAGACATGTAATCTTCGTACCGTTCTTAGAGATTTTCGGGAATAGGGGCCTCGGCTGGCACATCATCCGATGTGGGTACAATGGGTGTGTTATGTTCGGTTTGGGTAGACAAAAAGTTCAAAATGAAAATTAATTATAAAATATAGGAATCGATACATATTATTATATATGGCATTTTATCGTTGCCCGTATATTCTTAGGACTGGTAAAGTCCGTAACCGGGGGTGTTATCATCCCTTGGGATGTTACGTTCATCGGGATTTACCCATTCGTATACCTTGCAAGGAATATGGTTGTATCGAGTTAAATCGTTCCAGATATGGCTATTACGATCTTCATGCTAGAAAACATCGAAAAAAGAAACAATACCACCAAAAGAAGCTAGAGAAGATGGAGCAAGGTGGTACCGAGATGGAAGAAAATTTATAGTGATATGTGCCTTGGCACTAGCTCCGCTATTAGGTATAATTAGGCGTAACTA